CCTTGGAGCATCCCACCCACTTTGGGCACCCCATCCTCCTCAGGGCATCCCATCCACATCCTCCTTGGAGCATCCTGCTGGCCTCGAGCATCCCATCCTCCTCAGGGCATCCCATCCACACCCTCCTCAGAGCATCCCACCCACCTTGGAGCATCCCATCATCCCGGGAGCACCCCAGGGTCCCAGGAGCACCCCATCCAGCCCTGCCCATGCACATCCCTCTCCTGTGCCCCCAGCCCTCCCTGCCACAAGCCTCCAGCCCATTGCCTGTCCCCCCCCCAGCCCTGCCAGCCCCCCCAGTGCCACAGAGCTGGTACCCAAGGACATCGCTCTGCATGGTCAAGGGCATCCCACCCTCCTGCCCGCATCCCACGGGATGCTGGATGGGGAGGCTGTGGGGGCTGCAAAACTGGGAGGACCCGGGAGGAGGGGGGAAACTGAAGCTGGTGGCTTCCCCCAGCAAGCCGTGGGGCTGGGTGCTGCCCTGGGGTGGGTGAAGATGGGGAGAAGAAGAGGGGGTGGTGGTGGCACCGGGCTGGGACCACAGGGCAGGGCTGCAGGCAGGAGGAAGGGGGTGGTGGGCGCATGCGTGTCCTCAGGCTCTCAGGGTTGGGGACTGGGGGGAAAGGCAAGAGCTGTTGACCCCCACGGGCAACCTGGGCTCTCCATCCTCGCCTAGAGGCTGAGGTCCACCACCACGTGCCGGTAGACCAACGTGTTGGCCTTGAAGCTGGGAGCCAAGAGGAGCTGGACGTCAGACGCCGGCACGTAGCGGAAAGCCCGGGGGGCCTGAACCGAGAGCTCCTGGAACTTGACGAATTTCTGCTTCTCCTCTTCCCACAGGTAGACGTGGGTGAAGGAGAAGTCACTGCCCAGGGCCAGGTACTGCCGTTGCTCCACCAAGAAGGGCTGCATCACCATGGAGCCGCGGGACGGCAGCGTCTGGAGCTCCACGAAGCGCTGCCCTTCCCACCTCACCACCTTGGAGTCGCCGATGTAGCGGCTGAGGCAGAGGAACTGGTCCCTCTTCACCTTGAAGTGCTTCACCATCTGCACGTCCAGCATCTCCCCCACCTCCCCCTGAGGGACGAATTGCTTCTGCGCCCGGTTCCACTGGTAGATGACGGGGGCTTGGGAGCTGCTGGAGATGATCAGCCGGGGTTTGCCCTCGTTCTCCACGTACTCCACGTCGGTGTCGCGGTGCCAGGCGTGGAGGGCTTGGTGGGAGTAGAAACCGTTCTGGTTGAGGCGGTAGAGGCTGGTGGAACCCGCCTTGGAGCTGTCGGCGATGACGAAGTACCAGTCGCCTTCGATCTGGAAGGCTTCGATGTCGTTGGGCTTGCGGGTCTTCTGGCTGTCGATGTCCTGGATCTTGATGAACTTGTCCACGGCGGTGTCCCAGCGGTAGATGTAGGAGCCACCAAAGAGTTGGGCCACCACCACGTACAGCTGGTCCTGGGCCACGATGGGCTTGCAGTGCACGGCCGAGTGAGCTGCCCGGGCAGGACCACGTCACCTTGGGGTTGTTTCCTCCTCCAATCCCCCCCCAAAAATGGATATGGGGGTGGTGGTGGTGGTCCCAACCCTAGGATGCCTTACCAGGGATGCGGTCGAAGTCACGCAGCTTGCGCTCCACGTAGTCCCACTTGAGGATGGCACAACTGCTGGCACTGGGCTGTGCCAGGGCAACGTAGAGGTCGCTGGCGTAGGTGAAGGGCTCGGCCGACACCGACTGGAAGGGCAGGACCTGGTGGACCACGAAATCTGGTGGGGGAGAAGCGGTGGTGAAGAAGGGTCCGGCCACCCAACTGGGTGTGTTGGGGGGCGGGTGATGGGTGGCCGGGGTCCCCTTACCCGTGGTGATGCACTGGAAGTCACCCAGTGCCAGGTCCCGGATCCGTTGGCCCTCAAATTGCCCGGGGCTACTGCAGAAGACGGCGGGGACGGTGGTGTTGGTGCTCCCCAGCCACTCCACCAGCCACTTGATCTTGCAGTCGCAGGCCAGCGTGTTGCCCCGAAGGTCCCTGCCGAGGATGGCACCCCGTCACATCCTCCATGACACAACACCCAGCACCCAAACCCCCCAAAACCAGGGGTATCACCCTCTCCCTGGTTGTCCCCAGAGCTGGGATGGTCTTACAGGTCACTCAAGATGTCCAGCGGCTTGAAGAGACCCCGAGGCAACGTCTGCAGGTTATTGTTGGCCAAGGACCTGAATGGGGAGTGGGAGGGTGGTGGTGGTGGGGGGACAGGGGAGGTGACACAGCCCTGGCCACCCTGAGGGTGTGAGGACCATCCTCCATGTCCCCAGGGACCCCCCTCATCCTCCAGGTACTCACAGGTGGGTCAGGGACTTGAGCCCACGGAAAGTGGCCTTGGAGAGCGCTTGGATGTCGTTGTTCTCGATGAACCTGGGGTGGGAGGAGATGGTGGCACTGTCCCCTGTGGGTCACAGCCCCCACACACCCCCTCCCCAAGCTTTTTCCCCCCCCACACATCCCTGTCCCCCATCCCACGCACAGGTACTGGAGGTGCGAGAGGCCGGCGAAGGCGTTGTCCCCGATCAACGTGAACTTGTTGGAGTTGAGGAGGCTG